TTCCAGCCAGTGAGTAGTCTCAAAGTACGATGGGTGAGTTTTATATAGTCTTCTTTGTTTCCAATCCCCATCAGCTGATTTGTTGCCGCTCCAGAGGCTGAACTGTATGAAGACCCCAACCACCACACACCAGGTGAAGTTAAGAGACTTTCCGACAGTTCATAGTGCCAACAAATGTCACAGGCTCCGACCAAGTATAACCACATCCTTTGGAAATCCTTCCATTTTTGCAATTTCAAAACAGCCTAACTTGCTGTAAAATTCCAAAATTCTTTTATCATCCGGTCTCACTTCACAGAAAGCCCCTCGGGAGCCATTAGCCTTCAGTGAAGAAAGGAGACAAGCCATCATGCTTTTGGCTATGCTTGGGTCAGTTACTTTTTTGTGAATATCCATCTTTATCAGAGAAGGGAAGTTGGCAAGGAAAGTTTCTGGCAACACTTCCTGCTCTTCATGGAAACTCAACATTATTTTCTCAGCCTCAGAGAGTTCTTTGTCACCATTTGGCTTGGTATACTTCTCCTGCATGAAGGGAATCCAGGAAATTTTACATTTTCTAATGAAGGGAGTCACATCTACAGTGCCCAGGGCATAACCACATATGCCATCTTCATCTTCTAGGACAAAACAGTAATCCAGGCTGAGGGAAAGCAACCCTCCTACTAACTTGTCTCCAATAAGGTCAGGCTGACTTTGAAAAGGTAAACCCACTCCATCGTCATACATTTCTCTGCAAATCTTGTACACGGAAGCCTCATCTTTAGGAAAATATGGTCTGATAGTATAAACTTTGGAGGTAGGAGTCAGTGGGGGTGGTTGAAAAAAGAGGTCATTTGCCCCATCAATTGGCAGCAAACGCTGGAACTCTCCTGCTAGACCACCTCTAAAGGCCCAGGTTTCTTGGTCTCCAATTAAGAACTGTGCTGAAGAATGACTACGACACCCTAACCACTGTACAAAAGACTTCACCATAGACATTATACTCTTGATATCCCAAACATAGGAGTACATGTCATAAAGGATTGTCCTGTTGGCACAACTGGAGAGCCGAGTGAACATTCCCATCACTAGTCCACACATCTCTTCAAACTTGGCTGCTCGTGACCGCCATTCTTCAATTTTTTCAGAGTCTTTCCCTTTGCAATTGACGCTAACAACACTGCTATTCGCTCGAAGCCACTGGAACTCCCTTAACATCTGTGCTCCTTTGGGTCCAC